TAGATAGGTAATAAATAAGTATCAATATACTAGTCCCTAGCCATAGCTGATGTTTGTATAAAATACAATGCATGTTGTACCCTACCACGTAAGTAAAGGTTTTTGCATTTATATTTTAGCAATAACACTAACAAGTAGCCGAAATGACATGTTTTCATTATATCTGCAGTAGCCTATGAGTGAATACATATGACAAAATAATATTTCTGTCCAAATTCGTTGGCTCAAGTTGTGTATGACAAAAACTGTGTGTTTGTATCACTTATATCAGTAATATACTACCTGTGACTTGTAACTACCATACTGTCTGTTTTCTTTTGTAGTATTAACTTGTAAATAAAAAATAGATTTATTTTTGTGCATACGGGCGTATTAGACGGTGCTCAAAGCTAAAATGTAATTTATGTCATACGATGTTTCACCCATATTTATTTAAGGCGCGTATTCATTGGGCACAAAGGTCCCGCAACATTGTATCTGTACAAAGTTTTGCAACAAATGTACCCACAAACACCATCCACACTATTTTTCCATGTCTCAGATACATGTATCGGTGTCCCCCTGCTACAGACATTAAGTTGCCGCGATAGTCGCGTGAAGTTGTTGATATACAATGTCGCGGAACTTTGTCCCCGAAATGTTCCCAATGAATACGTGCCTTTACTACCCTGCCTGATGTGTTAGCGTGTAACGTATATTTAACTGAAAGTGGTAAATAATATTACGATTTTGTATCAAACTACATTTTATTTATACAGTCGAATAAACTTGTTTTAATGTCTTCCTAGCTGTTTCGTGTTATTATACCCTGTGATTGTGGTTATAACTTGCGCAGATAAAGAATGGGGATCCAGGAATTGGCAACATTGTTGTTTGCCTCTATCATATGACATATGAGCAGGATGCCAACAATAATGTTGCCAATTCGGGTCCATTCTTTATCTGCGCAAGTTCCTGACTATGTCCGGCTTCATCCGAACGCCTGGCAAACCTAAACATGGGTAGTCAGTGGTACAAGTGAAAAGTTGTGTGTACTACAAAAAATCGAAACTTATTTCCAAGTAGATTCACAAAGAATACTTTTAGAAACGCGACACGAGAACAACTTAAGTTCAATCAAACTGAGCTCAGGATAACTATGGCACAATGGCACCGAATTTAAAATAACCTAAATAGGATGTGCACATGTGCTCAAAATAAAAAGAGTGTATAAACTTTATAATTAATTTTATTTACAACACGAACATTGCAGCGTATGGAAATCTGTGATATTACAAAAATAATAGGAATTTTATTGACACATCATCTTAGAAAAAAATTAGATAGATGCTGGCTTAATTTAACCAATTTATTAGATTAGATTAATCATACTAACAGCAGAATATCAACCTACCCATTAAAGGGACTTACTTACATTGGTTATTTTTAGTAACTGTATGAAAAACGTCAAAAACCAGTTTAAGTTGAGCCCTCATATGGGTATGTTGATGTTCTGGTGACAGTACTATCGAAACTAAACACAAATATATTCGGAATGTTAATTAAAATTAGATTTATATTTCAAATTATGCACTTTACACAATCAGCTAACATCAAGTTTAGCTATTTTAATAATATTTATTTCGAATCATATTTGAAAATCTAGCATTATTAACAACAAAACTATAAAACAAACACTAAACAAAATAAAAAATTGAAACAAGTTCTTCTAAAACAGCGAAAGTTGATTTATAGCGTAACCTTTTTACATAATACTATGGGCTTTACTAGTAGGGTCTGTGACTTTTGGAAATGTATGGAAAGGTGACAATTTTTGTTTAAGTGAAATTTCGATATGGGGCCGTGTAGAGGACCTCAATCTAAGGTTTTTGAGCCCGGTTACCAAACTCCAGCACGTAGTGGGGGGGAGGGGGGGGCGTTCAAACTTTCGCGTTACCGCGCTTCAGTAAAAAAAATATGTGGCGTTGACTTTACATATAATTTTGAATTTGGTATCAATTTCTTATAAATCGAGGATGTACCTTTCATTTTTTGTATCAAAATACCTATATTTCTTACGAGAAATATGAAAAAAAATTAAATAAATGAAAAAAATCTGCAAAGATAAGTAATTTTTTTCATTTTACAGGCTATATCTTTAAAAATATATATGAATAAGTCATAAATAAAAAATATTATCCGTTAGTCTTATTATTTAAATTTATGAAACCATACACAGTAATGCCAATATTCGAAAAAAAACTCCCAAAAAAATAAGAACCGTCCCTACTGCAATGTGTACCCGTACGGAACTACTGCTATGTTTACCGCATAACATTTTCATCTTCCTGAAAAAGCGTTACAGAGTTATTATTTGTAATGTCATTTATTATAATATATAAAGTAGACGTATCTACACTAATATAATAAAGAGGAAAGATTTGTTTTTGTATGTAGGTATGTAATCGATAAACTCGGAACTACTGAACTGAATTCAAAAATACTTTCACCATTAGAAAGCTACAATATTTCAGAGTAACATAGGCTACTTTATAGTACGCGAAAATATCTTATTCCCACGGGAAAACGGTTAGCAGCGGGAAAACCGTTAAATTTAGCTGATTTTACCCAAATTATCCACAGCACTTGACCGATCTTCGAGAAATTCATCACTGATATTGCTAGCATATCAAAAAAGGGCATGGACTACGTTTTGTCAGACCTTGCTATGCATAATGGTCTGCTTCTGCTGGCACATGGTCATCGAGGGTCTGGAGTACTTGATGTAGATGACCAGCATCTCATCCAAACAATAAGAAATACGGTAAAGGCTTCGAAGTAAAAGTTGTTCAGCACGTCGGGCTGCTTCTGCTGGCACATGGTCATCGAGGGTCTGGAGGATCTGATGAATTTGGTAACGGATACAAAGTAAAAGTTGTTTAGTATGACGGGATGCTTCTGCTGGCACATTGTCATTTAAGGTCTGGAGTACCTTATGAAGACCACCAGCATCCCATCTAAACTATAAGAGATACGGTCATGGCTTGATAGAAAAAGTTGTTTATCATGACGGGCCACTTCTGCTGGTACATGATCATCGAGGATCTTGAGTACCTGATGACGACCACCAGCATCCCATCTAAACTATAAGAGATACGGTTATGGCTACAAAGTAAAAGTTATTCAGCATGACGGGCCGCTTCTGCTGGCACATTTACCTTTGCTGGAACGGAGTAATGGACTTTTACTACGGGCAAAGATCCAATTTCTACGGAAAACATGTAAGTAGCAGCGGGTGAAACCGCTGGGCGGGCCGCTAGTTTGTTATAAAAATGATTTTATTATCCTATGGTATTGCCTAATAAATGATGATCTATGCAATGATGAACTTTATTCAAAGTCTCCCTTTCAAGAACAAATAACTTGAGTTAATAACAATAACTAGATAAAAAATACTTTCTTGCCATTTTGTATTCATATAGTATATAGCAGTGCTCCTTGTGCCCTCCATCAGGTACTCCAGATCCTCAAGTTCTGACAAAACGTAGTCCATGCTCTTTTTTGATATGCTAGCAATATCAGATCAGTGATGAATTTCGCGAAGATCGGTCAAGTGCTTTGGATAATTTGGGTAATATCAGCTAAATTTAACGGTTTTCCCGCTGCTAACCGTTTTCCCGTGAGAATAAGATATTTTCGCGTGGTATAAAGTAGCTTATGTTACTCTGAAATATTGTAGCTTTTTAATGGTGAAAGAATTTTTTAATTTAGTTCTGTAGTTCCGGAGTTTATCGATTACATACATACATACAAAAAACAAAACTTTCCTCTTTATTATATTAGTGTAGATACGTCTACTTTATTTATTATAATAAATGACATTACAAATAATGACTCTGTAAAGCTTTTTCAGGAAAATGAAAAATGTTATACGGTAAACATAGCAGTAGGTACGTACGGGTACACATTGCAGTAGGCACGGTTCTTATTTTTTTTTGGGAGTTTTTTCTACGAATATTGGCATTACTGTGAGTGATTTCATAAGTTTTAATAATAAGACTAACTGATAATATTTTTTATTTATGACTTATTCATATATATTTTTAAAGATATAGCCTGTCAAATGAAAAAAATTACTTATCTTTGCAGATTTTTTTCATTTATTTAAATTTTTTTCATATTTCTCGTAAGAAATATAGGTATTTTGATACAAAAAATGAAAGGTACATCCTCGATTTATAAGAAATTGATACCAAAATCAAAATTGTATGTAAAGCCAACGCCACATATTTTTTTTACTGAAGCGCGGTAACGCGAAAGTTTGAACGCCCCCCCCTCCCCCCCACTACGTGCTGGAGTTTGGTAACCGGGCTCAAAAACCTTAGATTGAGGTCCTCTACACGGCCCCATATAGAAATTTCACTTAAACAAAAATTGTCACCTTTCCATACATTTCCAAAAGTCACAGACCCTACTATACCACAAAAAGTTAGACAAGCGTTGAACGCGTGTCTACCGTTTTTTGTATGAAGTTTCATTTTAATCTCGCATTCAACACTTGTCTTACTTTTATGTAGTATAACACGAAGTGTAAAATAACTTAATGACAATGTCAGCAGTATTTAGTTACTCATACATATCATATCATGTTCAATTTCAGATCAAAAAATAGGTATGGACTTTATTCTACACAGATATTTCATATACATATTTTTGTGGAGCGGTAGTGAAAACATTTTGACCTAAATCTTACTACTTCAGCAAGATTTTGGGACAAAAGTTTCTTGAATATGAATAGTCGATTTACAGATGTAGATGAGTTTAAAAAATAGGTGCTATGTCACAATCTTAGGTTGTACTGCGGGTTGGAATGAGGAAGACTACAATCTAGGGTTGAGTAGTATCAGCAGCACCCCAGCTTTGTAAGGGACCAGAATACTTTAGGTTGATCCCTTAAACAGGAAGGTTGCTGAGCTGCTGATAGTAAATAAAGGGCCGATTCTATCTACATTTGTAGCCAGGCGCCGGTAGCTCAGTTGGCGGAGCACAGTGGGACGGTACCCCACGGTCCCGGGTTAAAGTCCTGGCCGACGCTTATGAATTTTTCAACTTTTCATATTTTTATTTACATAAACACATTTAGAAGCCAAAGCTTTTGGTTTGATACATCAGCCCTTAAGTGATAGGTCTAGAGCGTCATCTAAGCGTGAGATAATTTATGTTCTCTTTTGATGGGAACAGCCTTGATTATGTGTCGAGAAAGAATAAATAACAAATAAAGACAAGGTTTTAAATGATGTAGGCTACGCAGTCGACATGCTTTTAAATTATTAAATAAATAAGAGATTAGGTTTATGTTTATAGAGCTTTAGGAATAAGTTTTGTTAGTATAGGAATGAAGATAATGTATCTACAAAAAAGCAAAAATTAGATGTTACATCTAATTGTACTCTCACAGTAGAGATATTTTTTAAATTATTCTTTATAGAAGATTTATTTTTAAATTAATTATCAATATACACCTCAGATATGTAATTTTAACAATTACAAATAACCTTATCACATTGTATTATGAATTATTTCCGCTTAATATCTTATTTAGATACAGTCTCCTTACTTAGAATATTATTTTTAGGGTGGCAATACACGGCATGATTTAAAATGTCTGAATAGATTTTTAAATATTGCCGCATGTTATACCAAAACCTTGTATTGTAACAATTATAAAAGGATATTATCGATAATCGATAATAGATTATAAAAAGGATACATTTATTACAAATACTACTAGCACACACATCTTAGTAGGTATGAGTCTCCATACAAATGTTTTTTTTTTCTAATAGTTACTACTTTACGAAAAAACTTAACCATGGAATATGACTCACACATTCATACCTACTATCTAATACTTGGTTCATTATACAGCAAATACTGTATCGTACTCACTTACTCATTTATTTGAACACTTTCCAGTCCCAAAACTTTTGATCCATACAAAAGTTAAGCACCCATACAATATACGATATTTTTTTGATAATTATTTTGTTTTTAAGCTGAAGCTATGCAAACTTTTTGAATAATTTAATGTCGCATATACAGTTATTGGAAAATCACAAAAGTTGTTAAAAACCATAAATAGAGACGCAGAAACTTCTGTTTTTAATTCAATGAATCATTATAAGGAAAATAACTTTCGATCGAGTCAATATCGCACACACTTAGCAATCAATTCTATTGCACAATCAAATCGATATCACTGTTTCATATTCGAATTTCACATTGCCACAGAGCAATCAAACGCGACCGCACATTAAGAAAACACACACTGCCAAAGCAGACACGACACATCCTAAATCATGTAGTCTTGAAGTCTCGACTCCAAAATCATGTAGTCTTTATAGTCCCGACACTCACGATACTCACAATATGGTCTCTCCCTGCCACAGTAGCCGGCGACACAGGTCACAGAACGTGTGATACCCAGTAGGTGCACTCACAGAGCATGTAATAACCAGTAGGTGCACTCATAGAGTGTTGAAGAGGTCGCGCGCGTTGTTCTTGGAGTACCGCCGGTACGAGCAGTCGCTGAATCAGCTGCCACTGGAAAAAGATACAAAATTAAATTATCATCATCTTCCTGCCCTTATTCCAATTACTTTGGGTCGGCGCAAAACGTTTCGTTGAACACAAATCGTGTTGTAAAAGGATTTGGCTGAATTTTACGACCAGCCGCCTACCAGACGTCAACCCTCCTTGGGAAGAGACAAAATTAAATGAATTTAAAAAATTAATTGGCTTAGAAGAATAAGCTTTTTCCCGGAACGGGACGGAAGATGAGTTGCTCGAAGAGCTTTTTCTGTCCAAAACCAGGCAATGCCACCCAAAAATGCGTAATAATTTTCCAATAAGTCGCTTTTCTCAAATTATAAGAAAGTAAGACGACGAGCTCGCTTCGCTCGCTATACGTGCTATGCTGGTGTCACGGAGGAGCCTGGTGTAGACACATACTTCTGTCGTATCTGCTCTGTTGTAATTTTTTTTCCTCCACCGGTTCCCAAGCTTATACCTTCTGTTGGCCATGGCGCGGCGTCGCGCGGACTGTCGTTGGTGCTCGAACTCGAAGTCCTCCTCGGTGAGGTTGAGGTACAATGTGGCACAATGTGGTACAATATGGTACAATGTGGTACATTCCCTGTTACCTTCTGTTGGCCATGGCGCGGCGTCGCGCGGACTGTCGTTGGTGCTCGAACTCGAAGTCCTCCTCGGTGAGGTTGAGGTACAATGTGGCACAATGTGGTACAATATGGTACAATGTGGTACATTCCTGTTACCTTCTGTTGGCCATGGCGCGGCGTCGCGCGGACTGTCGTTGGTGCTCGAACTCGAAGTCCTCCTCGGTGAGGTTGAGGTACAATGTGGCACAATGTGGTACAATATGGTACAATGTGGTACATTCCCTGTTACCTTCTGTTGGCCATGGCGCGGCGTCGCGCGGACTGTCGCTGGTGCTCGAACTCGAAGTCCTCCTCGGTGAGGTTGAGGTACAATGTGGCACAATGTGGTACAATATGGTACAATGTGGTACATTCCCTGTTACCTTCTGTTGGCCATGGCGCGGCGTCGCGCGGACTGTCGTTGGTGCTCGAACTCGAAGTCCTCCTCGGTGAGGTTGAGGTACAATGTGGCACAATGTGGTACAATATGGTGCAATGTGGTACATTCCCTGTTACCTTCTGTTGGCCATGGCGCGGCGTCGCGCGGACTGTCGTTGGTGCTCGAACTCGAAGTCCTCCTCGGTGAGGTTGAGGTACAATGTGGCACAATGTGGTACAATATGGTACAATGTGGTACATTCCCTGTTACCTTCTGTTGGCCATGGCGCGGCGTCGCGCGGACTGTCGCTGGTGCTCGAACTCGAAGTCCTCCTCGGTGAGGTTGAGGTACAATGTGGTACAATATGGTGCAATGTGGTACAATATGGTACAATGTGGTACATTCCCTGTTACCTTCTGTTGGCCATGGCGCGGCGTCGCGCGGACTGTCGCTGATGCTCGAACTCGAAGTCCTCCTCGGTGAGGTTGAGGTACAATGTGGCACAATGTGGTACAATATGGTACAATGTGGTACATTCCCTGTTACCTTCTGTTGGCCATGGCGCGGCGTCGCGCGGACTGTCGCTGATGCTCGAACTCGAAGTCCTCCTCGGTGAGGTTGAGGTACAATGTGGCACAATGTGGTACAATATGGTACAATGTGGTACATTCCCTGTTACCTTCTGTTGGCCATGGCGCGGCGTCGCGCGGACTGTCGTTGGTGCTCGAACTCGAAGTCCTCCTCGGTGAGGTTGAGGTACAATGTGGCACAATGTGGTACAATGTGGCACAATGTGGTACAATGTGGTACAATGTGGTACATTCCCTGTTACCTTCTGTTGGCCATGGCGCGGCGTCGCGCGGACTGTCGCTGGTGCTCGAACTCGAAGTCCTCCTCGGTGAGGTTGAGGTACAATGTGGTACAATATGGTGCAATGTGGTACAATGTGGTACATTCCCTGTTACCTTCTGTTGGCCATGGCGCGGCGTCGCGCGGACTGTCGCTGGTGCTCGAACTCGAAGTCCTCCTCGGTGAGGTTGAGGTACAATGTGGTACAATATGGTACAATGTGGTACATTCCCTGTTACCTTCTGTTGGCCATGGCGCGGCGTCGCGCGGACTGTCGCTGGTGCTCGAACTCGAAGTCCTCCTCGGTGAGGTTGAGGCACAATGTGGTACAATATGGTACAATGTGGTACATTCCCTGTTACCTTCTGTTGGCCATGGCGCGGCGTCGCGCGGACTGTCGCTGGTGCTCGAACTCGAAGTCCTCCTCGGTGAGGTTGAGGCACAATGTGGTACAATATGGTACAATGTGGTACATTCCCTGTTACCTTCTGTTGGCCATGGCGCGGCGTCGCGCGGACTGTCGCTGGTGCTCGAACTCGAAGTCCTCCTCGGTGAGGTTGAGGCGCTGCATGTGGTACATCAGGTACTCCTCGCCCAGGATGTTCTCCGGCGGGTGGCGCAGGACCTGGAATCACAAACATTACCTTGAATGTTGGAAATATCTGCAAAATTATCCACCGCGAGCAGGATTTGTAAGCCTGCGACGTACCAACTAGGCAACGCGTTTCTATCCTAGCCTATCTTAAATTTTCCAGAAATTGTATACCAAACACGGGAAGTGTTTTAAATTCGGTATTCATATACCTTGAAATAGAAAATTTTATACCACGGGAAGTGTTTTAAATTCGGTATAAAAAAATCATAGATCGCGTAAATGAGTGTAAAAAAAGTACTCTGTAACAAAAAGTACTAGGCTGACAACCTATCTCTATGGTGATACACACAGTCTTCTGAATGATTCTTAAACTATTTACCTGACTACAGCAAAACAAAAAGGAAGGTTATGGTGTCAGACGAGGCTATTTTTGCAGCTGTTTACGCTCTGCCTACCCAACATAAGATATAGGCGTGTCATAGGTATGTATGTAAATATTGTCGACAATGTTTTATGTAATATATTTACCTCCAGCGTCTCGCACAGGCCCGACGCGCGCTTGCGCACCTTCGCCGAGCCCAGCGCGCCCGCCAGGATCACTAGCGCCGCTTTGAATAGCACCTGCAATCCGAAATATGGGAACTGTAGTGAAGTATCACTAAATATTAAATTTGTTCAGACATTAGGTTGGTTTCTGCTTGATCAACAACTCGATTTTCTATAGATTGGTAGATGGATGATAATGTCTCAAAACCAATATGTAAACAAATCGAGCTTACATATTGGTTTTGCTACGGCTACGCCGGCATATAGCGGGTGCAGGAAACTTGATGCAAGTAACCCAAGGCCGGCGTAGCCGGCATGTAGCGGGTGCAGAAAACTTGATACAAGCAACCCGCATAAACATTTATCATCATTTATTCTACCCAGTTATTTTAACATAAAGTAAATTTAAGCACTAGGGCATTTCTAGAGGTCATACTACACAATTTTTTTCATGATACTCAGAGATTACTTACTTATTAAAAAAAACAGTACCTTGACTCCTTCACATA